GGGGAAGAATGGTTCCCTGGCATTCTGGCTGTCGGTGCTGTGCTACATTGAACAACCTCGCACAGAGCCTTGACTGCTATTAAACATGTCCAAGTGAAAATGCACCCACAGAAAAGGAGGCTTACAGTGAGTTGTGGTACGTTTCCACGATGGCACAGAAGAAACATCTAATGGGAATATGGCTTTATGGATTTTGTAGGATTAAGGAATGCAGAGCCTGTAACCAATGCTACTTTATAGGAGTGTGACTCTCTGGTAAGTGAAAGAATGTATTAATATGTCACTATTAAACTTGCCACACCTTTGGGAAGGACTCTAGCAAAAATTCCAAGGTTAGGATTTAAGTGAGCTAAAGCCCTGGATTATCAGATGAGTAAGATAAGTACGAGCATCAAGTTTGTGTTCTTCCTAAAACCAGAATCACAAACTGTTTAGATTTTTGCATCAGAAAATTCCAGGGTAATTCGGGAAGACTTTTCATTTAGTTCAAATTTTTATCCACTCCCTGAAGAAGATACCCTCCTTAAGAAGAGAAAAGAGAAAAATGCGGTGGGTATCATTTCATCAGATGCGGTGCGGCACACAGGCAGATGACTGTACATTCCAAAAGAAATAAGCAGTCTGTGCTCAGTGCGGCCTGCATGAAGTGCATATGAACCTGAGATGTACAGTGGAATGTCGCTATACCAATCACCGCTATACCGAACATTCGGCTGTACCAAACATCGTCCTTGGCTCCCAATATTTTGTGCACAAAACCTACCGAACATTATGTACTTGCAAACCAACCGAGATTTGCCACAGCATGCATCAGAGATTGATCCTGAGCGGTAGCTTCTCGAATTTTGGGATAAACTAAATAGCAACTTTGTACCTCAAGACTTAATAAAAATAATTAACAGATATATTTCTAGAAACCTAAAACATGATTGCAATTTGGAAAATCCTGACATCAGGGCATCAATTAAGGCTTTAATGAATCAATGGCGCGCAGCAGCTCACCTCAATGGGCTGGGTATGGCGGCGACCCCCGGCACGGTGGCGGCGGTCAGCGTCTTGGTCGCCTGGGATATGGCAAAGGCCACGGCCGTGCCTCCTATCGTGATAGTTGCCTGCTCCAGCCGCTGGTAGCATTGAGCTATGAAGCTCTTGTGCAGAGCCACAGGATCCTAAGGGGGAAGGGAAAATTATCAAATGATCACAGGGTGCTAAAAATAACACTTATCGGGGGGGAGGGAAAAATTAGTATTACAAGATGTACTTTGCCTTGGGGGATACGTTACATCTGACTCAGACCGGCCAGCCGCCCCGGCAAGCTCAGTGGTCGAGTGGTTAAGATGTCTGCACTAGTAAGTGCGAGGTTGCGGGTTCGAGTCCCACCCCGGTGAGCTTGTGAAGTTTTTTGCAAGCTCTCGGATAAACACTGAGTATCAAGTGTTAATATATATTAAACCTTTTATTAAAAACTTAGTATCACAATACCCAGCTCTAAATACACTGACCCAAAAACTACACTATCCGCCCCGAGTTGAAGTGCACCCCCCAGGAGACAAAAGAAAGACAGATGGCGGTAAGTTTTCCAAGCGGGATCTTGCATGCATCCTGCGTGTACGAAAAGGCCATACATTCAGTAATAATTCATTATGCGTACCCAGCATGCTCCGTGTCAAACGCGCCACTGACCCCATTATAAATGTGCACCTATGCGGTGAGTACTTAGAAAACAAGCCCTCTTTTGTTCCGCTCGGAGCGGATACCAGAATATATCTGTGGACAGGAACTTTGTTCTCTTATGCTGACGTATACTGGAACATTCCAACTATATGCATAAGTAGTGTGATTGTAAGGGAAAACCCTAATATGAAAAAAACTGACATTCCTGACAAAAAGCTAAGCAATATTGAACACTGTATATAACCAACTTTGTGCATTGGGAAAAATAAATTACAAATTTAGGGAACAGAATTTGGAAACCGTTTCCTCCATGAATAAGGTCTATTTCATGGAGTGTCTGTACTTAAAAATTTGTTGAGCACATAAGATCCCTGCTTATCAAGACTGGCAAGACCGATCAAAATGTCATACAAGTGTACACAATTTGAGACCGGTTCCTGGCTGATTTTTGCTGAACACATAAATCTGCTTAGCAATTTTTTTTGTGGGGCGAGCGGCAATTGTGGCAGAGGTTTTTTTCAGTCCACTAACAGCTTACCTTCTTGAGCTTGCGTGACAGGTTGGTGTAGCACATTTTCATTAGCTGCTTAATGGCCTGATCGGCGATCTCCTCGCATGGCGTCTCCAGGGCAATCTGCCACATGAAGTCCAAGCCGTACAGGTCCAACTTTTCAACCACCTCCGGGGGGAATAAGTACAAAAAAGGAGACTTGAATTCATTCTACAACAGACCTTTATCACCTTGCTGCCATGTTTGTCTTGTTCCCTATGGATCCAGTGGCAATAGCAATACAACTTCACATCCTGAAAAAATGGAACAGACTATTTTTCCTTCCAGCCTCAGTTTGGTTACATTGCTTTGAATGGTAGAAAAGCAAGATGGCTGCAAAATGATGGAGGTCTATGCCCAGCATGGTATCCTGGGTAAAATTCCAAACACGTCATTACTCAATGGACCCTAGGCCTCCCAGATTCTCAACAGACCTCCAGAAGGTTTCAGAAAATTTTGCACGACTGAGAAAGGCAGATCCCAGCTTCATTTATCTTATGCGGGACTTGAAGCCCCTGGAAGGTTTGAGTACCAAGAAAACACTACTGTGCTTCTGCAATGTGAAGGATTTCATGGGACTGAGGAAGGCATCTATGAGAATATGAAGGGAATAGGCCTTGTTCATACTTGGTGCTAATGCAAACAAAAACTCAATTGTGAGATATCACAGAATCTTAAACTTGAGCAAAGTTGAGTACAAAAGGCAAGAAACAGAAACAAGTTTGTCTCAAGCTGACAAGGTAGGTTGTTCCCCAGATAACGCCTATACCCATTTGCACTATTGGGTGGAGAGAGGCAAATAAAGGTAAAGTGGCCTGCCCAAGAACATAGCCAGTGGCCAGCAGCTGGTCTGGCATGCAATTTGAGCCCCGTTCCCGTCAGAATGACGAGTTCAGATGTCCGGTATGATGCATCTAGAGAACGTGGGAGAGAGTTTGGGATCATTCAGACCGACTCACCAGACCCGTGGCCATCTTCTTCAGGGCATCGCTGTTGATGTTGACAGTCTCAAAGTAGGTCTTGACGCACTCGAAGCCCGTCGGGGAAAGAGTGGTAGGGTCCAGCTTCAGCAGCTTCTCCTTGAACAGCTGCATCTGGGTGTCCTGCTCCAGGTCGGTTAGGCCGACACGGAACCACTCAAAACACGTCTGACAGAGAAAGCAATGCATGGATTTTCAACTTCGACACTAAGCTCTCACACGTTTTAAAATCCACTTGTTACTCAAAAGTACGGTTGAGAAATTGGTTAAATCAGGGTGGCTCGGTGCAAATATGCCTTCAGAGGTTTTTCAAAGCAAAAAAAAATACTGTTTAATGAATATGTACATGAATCTTCTGCAAGTTCTGATCGTCAACATGAACAAGTAAAGTACCTTTTCTATAAGAATTTGCGGCAGAACCATGATACACTATTACAAGCAAGTTACAAACTCACTGGCAAAGAGACAGCCTGGTGGGAAGGTTTTTAAGTGGGCTCTTCCCTTTCATATCAAAGTTGCAGGAACCAGAGCTTGAGATAAATTCCGGGAATGTCAATTAAACTGTTAAAGGATGGCTCACTGTTTGATCCCTGTTGCAGAAATCTGATCGAATGTGCTAAATTATTTTATGCCGTTACCTCCTGGTCTAATTCACAGGCGTCCGGGTTGGCCACAAGACAGTCCCATATCTCCCTGGAACGGTGCCAGTGGAGGTAGAGCGCCCCCTCTTGGAGAATGAAAGCCAGGAATCGCAGGTGGACATCGACGTACTGTCGGAACAAAAAGACAACAAGGGTGGATATCTCGGACAGAGAAAAGGACGCACAACTATTAGTTGAGGAGGCACTGAATGTGAGAGTGTCACCTCCGAGCAAATGTGGTGTCACCATGGCAATAGTTCCTAGATCTGGATGCCAGATATGCGCATTCACAACGCATGCTTCTCGCCATTCCAACTGCTGTATGTTGCGCTGAGCAAGATTTCGAGCCACAAAATAAAACCCTTCAGCATTTGCGACCGAGGAATGTGAGGTCGAGTGGGCAGAAAGTGAAAACTTGTCCAAATGGTCGTTTCTCTCACCTCTTCATGCGTGTAGCGGCCGTCGATTGACACCTGGGGCCCCAGCGGCTTGCCTTCCAGTGCGGTGACGGCCATCTTGTGATATTTCAAGAGGCTCTGAGTGGTCAGCTTGATAATGTCATAGTTCTTGTTAAGCTCTTGAGGCAAACCCTACAGGCCACCAAAAAAGAAACAACAACTGAACATCTGGATGATACCACACACATAGAACCATCTGTTACTGAGGGAATACATATGAGCCTGACCAGTCTCAAACATACATCTAAGACCAGCTCAGGAGAATGGACGCGACTAATGCCCAAGCAGCAGGCGAGGGCATGATCGGCATTCGGTCTCCTGAGCCGATCTTAAACGTTAGTTTAAGACCAGCCAAGCACATCTTTATTCTTATTCAGAAATACCTTCTTAGTCAGAGAGTCAAAAGAAGTCAATATTTGATGGAATATCCAGTGATTTGTTTGAGCATTTTACTCTAATTTTCCTGAACACCCCTGTCCATTTTTTGGAATATTCCTTTTGCAAGTTGTCCAATTGGCGCCTGCATGGTGAGCCATGTGCACATTGACTCTTAACCCATCAGAATCGATGAAATTGTCTTGTATCCGGGTGCCACCATGTGATTTACGCAGCGGGCATTATCACTTCTCAGAGGGCATTATTAAATGTTAATATACAGTCAAGTTGCACGTTGTTGAATAGGGAGACTGTCTGAGGTATTTTTGAATAAGCTTTTAACTCTTTTTAGAGCCAAAAATAACAGACTGGTCTGAGGAGGAAAATGATATCTTCCAAACCACTCAATTCAGAGTAAATTAATACTAGTAATTAATAAGCTAATTAGCTTAATACCAAATACTTTAATATACAACAATGAATCAGGAACCAGAAGGCTATTTAGGACATCAAAATTCAAACATTCCAGCACTGAAGTTCCCCCCCATGGGGGGAATACCACAGTCTTGTCATGAATATGGAAATTCACATTAGCATAAAACAAAAGACATATGGGTAATTCCAGAAATTAGGGGTCCAAAAGTGTGACATTTTCGTGTCCCTGTTACATCTGACCTTTGTTATTTGACATGGAAATATCACTGGAATTGATTTCAAACTATTACTATTTGTTAGACAGGTAATTCGCATTAATTCATCCAATGTGTTCTGAACTTACAAAATCACACGTCGGCTGTAACAGGGACACAGAAAAAAATGGACCCCTAATTTCTGGAATTACCGATGACAATACCTTTCAAAATAGCGAAAACAAGATTGAAAGTGACAGCACGTATATCCGAAACACAAACACGCCCTCGTCAAGGCTTGCAGTTAAAAAGGGAGAATTGCAAAGAACCCAGAAGAATGACAGGTATTTGAAATACACGTACCTTGTCTTTTGTGTAGCTCTGTTTGGTGATAGCTCTGGTGATAGAGTGCAGCTGTCTCAATGCTGGTACGACCAACGAACCCTGCGTGAGAGATCAGTCAATCACCACACAAGAACAATGTCAAAATATCATGCAAGGACAGAGATTTAGGCCAGGGCCAAAACAATCGACAAATCCAATTAAACAGACATATATTTTGAATTCTCTAAAAACCCGATGCAAAGTGAAATAATATAAAATACCACACGGTGATGGTTAATACAAAAAGAACTTAAGTGTCACCAGTAACAATAAGACACCAAAGGTAAGCAATTGAATTAAGGTTGACAGACAGGGAATTAAAAAAGAGTTTATTATAATAGGACAGTGCAAGGCCGTTGACATAAACCAAGGCTTGTAGGTGGAACGGCCTGGACAAACTATATCAGGTAATCACACACAAAACAGCAAAAAACAAGCAACAAAACAAAATAAAAAAGACAGTCTGACACACAAAAATACAGATGAAACTAACGATGTGTTATGATATCAGAAACCATGCCCATGAAAGAAAGGAAAAACAATGCATGCGGATAACAGAATATGAGGGAAAACTTCATATTGAATGCAAAAAAAGAAGAGTGAATAAATAGTAAAGGGGGGAGGGCTATGCTACATATCCGCCCCGAGCTGAAGTGCACCCCCAATCGGCGGAAGAAAGACAGGTGGTTACAAATGGGTTCTTGCACGCGTTCTGCATGTAGGCAAAGACCATACGCGTACTCAGCGTGCCCCGCGTCAAACGTGCATATACTTGCGCGCCTCATGGCGGGCCTATGTGGTGAGTACCAAAAAACACGCCCTCTTTTGTTCCGCTCGGAGCGGATTGGGAAAGAAGAAATCTTTCATATTAAGATTTGAATCGGCTGCAAATAGCAGGAATCCATGGGAACCCGAAGAAGCCATCAAAAAACATGTTCTCTCCAGAAATAGCCATGTCTGGTAATTTCAGACCAGTTTCACTGCCAAAAGGCATAAAATTCACTTATTAACCCAACCATGAATAGTTACATCAATGACTACACTAAAGATCAATTAATTGAACAGAGTGTCCTTCGGCAGAATAATTGCTAGCACTTTAGGTGATGTTTTTAATCCACTTCAGGAAAAGAGCGCGCCACTTTTACAGCCACACAACTGACTCTGCACCCCAAGTGCACTCTAACAGAAGAAATAAGCTTGTCAAAGTTTTTCAACCAAGCTTGTGCACGTACCAGGCGCAGAAACAACGATCGTATGTATTTTCAAACAGAAATTGGGTATGAACTTGGCGCGTCCCACACCTAATGCCTGAGAGACTGTACGTGAACATGCTTAATTCCCACCAAAGGACTGCCCTTTCTAGGTACATGTAAAAATACGCAATCTCTTGTTCCCGCTCGAGGAGGACTAAACAGGCCTCTCACCTTCTTGATGTCGCCGACGCACCTGCTGATGTACTTCTGCTTGACCGTCATGTTGACGGTGATGGAGTCGCACAGGATGGCCAGCTGCTCCTCTAGGGCATGCTGCAGGTGGGGGGTGGAGATGGCCGGCAGGTGGGCCAGATCCCAGAGCAGCTCCAGGACCTTGCAGGTGGTCTTGGCGTTGCGCACCTCGCGGCCGATCCGGCCAATCAGGCTCAGCAGCTTCTCCTGGATGCGGTCGTTCTCGGTAGTCCAGGCCTTGGGGATTTTCATTAAGGCATAGTTGTAAAGATCCCAAGAGTCACCGATCACATTTCTTTTAATTTGACAAAATCCCACACTTTAATTACATACGGTATGTTAGTTTTAAAATTTGCATATTCTCACGTGACGCCCAAGGTCTATAGAAAGGTCAAGTATCTTATCTTATCGTGTAACTGTTTATTTCTTTTGTTTTAATTTTTGTACTATGCATTTTAAATACTTTCTTACTGTTTTGGTTTCGTGCTTACATTCAGTAAGTTTTACGACCTTTTGTTTTTTCCTGCTAACTTTTTCAGTTCATTGGTTCCTTTTTTGTTGTCACTTATCGTTACTGGTTTAAAGTTTTTGTCTATTTCATTGGCCTATATTTTATTCGTTGTTTTAAATGTGTCTGTGCTGTCTCATTTGCCTAGGATGCAACAACATTTTTCTTCTTGTTTTGCATAGTTTTATTTGGTTGTTAGTTTTTAGTTTAGCTTTTTTAGTTCATAGAATATGTGGAGCGTTTCTTATTTTATCTTTAATCGTTTATCATTTTATCCGGGAATTGATTTTAGAAGGACCTTGAGGTATTGTTCACGACCCTTGACATGGTCAAAAATTAATGATAACAATAATAATAGTATCTAGAATGTACACATGCACATGTGTTCAACTGTCATTCCATAGATACTACAATGACGAAAGTGTAATCCAAAATAACAGCCACGGATGAACCTTTCCTGCTTGTTACTGAGCATGCCACGTTTGTCAGTTCTTACGCACGCACATGACACAACATCTTCAATGGTTCATTCTTTTTAAGCCCGTTCGTGCGAGCTTAAATGATTTTACAACAGACGCTAGATAAAACCAATGTGCGGATCCTACTGAGTTGATGTCTGTGTTTTACATGAGCTCATACGTAGCCGATACAAAAAAACTCGCGACTTGATAAGACCAAAAAAAAACCCCACACAGCCACACTTTGAAATGTCTAGTATCTAATCACCAAGAATCTACATGGCTACGTGATACTGTGGAGATCTTCGGCAGTCCAGGGCCTTAAAATGGGAAACTCTGCCCGTTCTAACTAAAAGTGCACAGAGACTCCAACTATGAATGGAATGCCAGGTGTTTGGCATACCTTCTGTATCAGGTAGAACAAATGTTCCAGTTGCTCGGTGTTGAACTTGACGGCTGCAGCAGACATGATGGAGTGGATGTTCTCCACCACGGTCAGTGGCTGGTCATTCTATTAGAGGATAAAGAAAAAGGTTTGAATAAAAAAGGACTGCATCAATTTTGTGTGACTTTATCAACTGGCGTCAGACTGCTTTGTTCTTAACTGGAAACCTGTATTCATGACATGTGGCTACTCCAAATCGCCTCATGTGCGTGCTACAGAATGGTAACAAAAACGGCTCCCACAGAAATCTGACGACCGAATTCCATGAGTTTTCCAGAACTGAAATACGACAATTTTCGTGACATTCAATACTGCAGGGAAAGGTCTGCTTGGTGTTATACACTGGAAGACTGCCATGTCAATGACTATAGATGGACACGGATAGCCTGTAACTTGACCGTTTTTCCGTCAAAAGTGGTTCATCAAAAAATCATCCTTGCACAATCTTGACTTCCATGACTTTTCCACGATTTCTTTGCACTGGCAATTGACTTCCATGACTTTTCCACGATTTCTTTCCACTGACAACAGGATTCGAGGACGCCATATTTCTTTCACAATTTTTCAGGAATTGTCTACTGCTTTACAGGACTTCTTCTGAAGGATTTCTCTACGACCATGGGTACCCTGGAATATAACTGAAAGCCCTCTCTGGATTGAAAACAAAAAATTCTCTATTACAATAAATCAGTTAAAGCAAACCAAATTGAGACGGAAGGACCTCACCTGCATGTTCCATATTCCGGTCAACTCCTCTTGAGACAGTTTGGTGCCCAGGAACACCACGATGCCCTTCAGCCGGTCGCAGTACTGCGACTTGTCGATGTTGCCTGTACCAATCATCGGGCAAAACCCGTCAGAAATGAATGGAAGACACACGAAGTTCTAGCACCTAGAGACGATTCCCAGGAGACCCCATTCCTGCGGGGCCAGCACACTCACGCACATCTTAGCTTGAGTGAGTGCACTTTGCTAAGGGTGCAACACCCTTTGAATCAGATGGCCCCGCAGTAATGACTTCTAATTCTTTTGGCCGGATTTGTCTATAAGGCCCCTGTCAATGAGGCATTTTACCGGGGCACATCTCACAAGTCAGAAGGCAAAAAGGATGTTCTGATTGGGAAGACTGCCTGTTCCAATTGAAAGTAGACACTGTTACGACTTGAAACAGCTTCAGGACAGCATGTAATCCTGAATAGAAGAGCAATCCATGCTCGTGTGCACTTTAACCCTAACCTTCCCCAACCATACAGAATTAAACAGTAGTAAAGTGTTTAATTCTGTGGGGATAGGTCTGGTAGGCCCATAACAGCTGGCTTTTGCAATGGGTTTGGCATACCTCAGAAAACAAAGTCTAACAGCCTCTGTGCACAAAGTCCCATATTTAACTTTGTGTGAATGGGGAAGGTTGGGGCCTGCAACCCTTGGGGGGTTAGGGTTAACACTCGGGGAACAACCCGTTCCAATTAGGAACATGTCAATAACAGGGCGGTGAAGGTTCATCGGAGAATCGTGGTGTATCCAAGGATGATTAAGCCCAATGATCAGGGGTAGCAGTATTCAGGAAGGACTTTGATTTCTTGACTGTGCATAGTCAACATTCAATTTGTGTTCTGTGGACTGAAAACCCATATCCGACTCACCCATAAATAGGTGCTTTCTTCTTTGTACAGATGTACCAGTTATCTGAAATATATGCCATCCATGTTGTTCGAAGCTTTAGATTTGGTGGGAGATTTCTAGAAATGATCTTTTATATCCAGTGACAGATCGCTCCTTTGGAAATTTAACTCGTGGGGATTTTGGGGTAGAAGGGCGACGGATATTGTAAGACCAAAAATTCTATGTGCTTGTCTTGTGTACTGCAAACTTCATGAGAATGAAGTTGCCTGAGTGTCAGACTTACCGTCGAGTGCTATGGACAAGACCTTCTTGTCCACCAGCCAATTCAGGACGACCTCTTCCTGAATGGCAGTACGATGGTTCCTTGTGGAGGAGTCTTCAATCAATTTAGCAATCTGAATGCCGAAAGAAAGGAACAATACCAGATAACTAAAAACTCTCTGTGAATTCCCGCATGAGAGAACGCAAACGGAAGGTTGACAAGATTGACCAAGGTTTTTCTGGGGTCTTAATCACTTCGCGCCAGTGGCAGTTATCAATGTTGATGATGTTAGGGCGGGATAATTATCATTTTTTCCTGTTTTCAAAATCCCATCTTCATTTACTGGACACTTACACCCACACGAAGGACTGTCTGGTGTCTACTCTAATCTGACAGACAACATCTACTGATGCTGGAGTATTTCTCCCAGGCCTGCTGCCTTGTAAAAAGAGCCGACGTTGTGTGGTGTTACGTAATTTTCTTTTGTTCACAAAACTGGCACAGTGCGCTGCTGACCTCTTTTCAACAGGGGCCAGATTAGCGTGCAGCGGTACTGTGTGGCTCATCACTGCGGTGAA